TCTTTCATTAATATGCTTGGGTTGTTATATTAGTAGTTAAATTATATTAGAAAGTGCAGATGATGAAGCAGTTGCATGTTGGAAGGAGTGTGTCACCAATTTATCCTTCCTTTTCACGAATTCATTCAGTAAAAATGATGTTTTTATATCTCAAATTCACGAAAAATAATTATGATGAAGTATTGTAGGCAATAATGCGACGCAAAAAAATAATGGAAAAGCGCATGATGAAATTGCAAATAAAATATTATGCAACAACTCAGCAAAATAAATTTCATAAAATCACGTGACTAGGGACCTGTCAAGAAATAGTTATTTGGGTTGTTTTATTTCCGTGTAAAGTTCTGCAGTATTCATGAAGCATTTATGAAGAATTTCATTGCTAGTCCAATGTAGAATGATACGGCAATTCATTCCCAAAGTGAACATATTCCAAAAGGTAACACTTTTATAAGGAGGAAATGTCAAAATTCTCAAAATTTTTTCAATACATTAAAATTCTAACTTAAAGGCATGGGCAGAGAATTCTTGACGGGATTATGTTACATGTTATGATGTCACAAATTCGTGGTGATGATCTGAATAAGAGAAAGGATGCTTTTTTCTTTGATTGTTACAATTGTCTTATCAAAAGCTCAATTGACCTTTTCTGATGTATCCTTCAGGATAAGAGATTCATATTACTGCTTTAACCTATTTTTACACTCAAATAGGGAAAAAGTATTTTAACGGCTGACTTTGCCCCTTTTTGAATATAAAATCAAATCACAGATTAATTGTCGTAGTCAAAAGTCATAACTTTAAATAGATGCCTGAATTGATATATAATTTTAGATCTCATTTTGTTGCAAATGATACCAATAATAATTTTTTTAAAATATCAAGAAATTGTAAATATTCTTTAATGTTCAAAGTTCTACATATCTTCAACCATCCTTATTAATCAAATCATTTTTTTTACTTCAAATCCCATTATTTTGAAAGTGTTGATAAAAAATAAAGAAGACCCTTCGCGGTAAAATCTTTCCAATTTACTTAAATAAACATGGCTTAGGTTGTTATTTTACATTTTTGTTATTAACAAAAGTATGTTTGTATCATCTGTCCTTAAGCATTCTTAAAGACCACAAAGGACGCCAAAGTAAGATAGTTCCTCAATTCTGGTGGAACTTTGGCAAATAATTTTTTTTTTCAATTTGGAATACATGGGACAAAGGCTTGTTTAACTGAGATTTTTGTACACAAGATCCTTCTGATAGTATTGCATGAAGTTTTTTTTTTTTTTTTTTTAGTAGATAGACTAGCTTATGCCAGAAAATGTGCCGTAAAGTTGAAAAATTGCATAAACATGATAAAATCCGAAAGATGGTATACGTTGTGACTTTACTGTTTCGTTTGTGTGTCCTCTAACTTTTAATTAATACTAATTAATGGTCACGGGTTTATTGCATCCGTTTTTTCCCGATCAGGACAAGGAGCATTCGGCGGGTGTGACTCATCAGCAGGGGATGCTCACTCCTCCATGGCACCTGATCCCACCACTGATGTTTTGGAGGTCCGTGTTTGCTCTGCTCCTATTTTGTATTGTTTTATCGACTTTTGACCTTGAATACTGTACGTTTTCTCCATATGTTTCAGGTTTCCTCAGAAAAACCATTGGTCAAAATAGTATGTTAAACTATCTTGCCTTTTAATTAAAACAGTAAAAGACAAGGTAAAAAAGTAATTTCCATAATTTGTGTCATTTCCTCAATTTAACAAAGCATTTCGTAATTTTTTTTTTTTTTTTGGTCAATTTTAATTGTAAATTAAAAAATTGTAACTTGTATCGCCACTTTTATTCTTTCAAACGGGGAAAAAGTGAATTTTCCTATCAAAAGTAAAGTAAATTAAATTGTCACAATGAACTTTTAATAGTGAAATTTTACTTTACGCAACGGAATAAAATGTCTTCAAGCAGGTGTAAGGATTGATTAAAATTGCCGCTTTGCGGGAAAATAGTTTTCAACATTCTATGACTTGAAAAGACGATATTTCCCATTACGACATTGAGTGTCTTCGCAATCTTAATAAATAAGCCAGAGCCTTCTAATAAAGTTCGCTGGAACAGTAACAATATGTCGCCCTGATATCTTTTGGTGGACCTGATTAAAAAGATTTTTTTTTAAATTTATAGAAATGACTAAATTTTGTTTCATTTGATGTAAAATAATATTATATAAATATTTTTTTGCATAATTCGACATTTTTTTCATGTCATATTCTTTTACATGAAGATTGTATGTGGGTTATGTCATTATCCTACATGTATCTGCTATATTTATGTACATTTTTTCTTCTCGGTGTCTGTAACCTTCTCTTCACCTCCGTATATCACCATTGTTATTAAAGGATCATAGGACAAAAGAAACCATCTACTTATGATTAATATTTCAGGAAGAGCGCAGTGGTAGTCAATTTATCAATATACTCTTTTGTTTTCTAAAAGATTATTTTCTAAAAATATTTCAAACATTTTCTGTCGTTAATTAACGTTTCGCATGGCATGATTCTAAAAAAGGTATTATTTGGAGGAATCCATAGAGGTTTATTTAACACATTAACAGGGTTTACTTAATTCAATACAAGAGACCAATCCGGAATTCAAAGTTTAAATTTAACTTTTCTTTAAAAAAGTTTAAATTTAATTTTTCTTAATATTGTTTTTTTTTAAAGCATCATAACATCCTGAATTTTACCAAAGCAAGAGAAACAGATAATTTTAAAATTCAAAATGTGAAGCAGCTGAACATCAATGCGACATTATGTTAAAAATATAAATGAACAACTGACGAACAAACATTTTCCAAGGATGAAATGGCGAAGAGATTCTTCGTCATTGGAGTTTCCTTAGATTTAATAAATGATATAGGTTAAGATTATAACTCATGGAAAAGGTGAAGATAATGACAAATTGTCGATCACCTGAATATGGGGTTATATCTCCATCTTATTCGATACTCAAAGGAGTGCTCCGAGTACAATTAATCCTTTAAGTGTGACAGCTACTAGCACATAAGTTGATGTAAGAGGGATTTGAACAAAAGCATTCAGTCAGCATTTCATAAATTCCATGATCGTTTTACCGACCTTGTTAGCAACAAAACCAATGATCGGGTCGTATTTTGGCTGGCGTGTTTCATACTAATTGTTTAATCTTTTGGGTTTTCACGCTGAGTTTTACTGGGGAATGTTCCGTTTACATGACTAATACATAGGACTAACGGCGGGTGTAATCGGTCAACAGGGGACGGTTACTCTTCTTTGGCATCTGATTCCATTTCTGGGTTTTCCAAGATTTCGTTTTATGCCCTTCACAGGTTTGTATTCTTTTCAGATTTTCTTAAAATCGACAACTCACCCTTCTCTATGAGCCTTTAGTTTAACTGAGCTTAAAATAGGCAAGAATTCAGGCGATATTACTTTTTGAATTGTAGTGATTTAACATTATTAAGGTCACTCCAAAATCAGACAGAATCTGCTTAAATAATTAGGAATGTGAATCTACAAGCTAAATTTCTCAATGGCGTATGCACCTTGACAATAACATGGCGAATGGGAAAAACGGTCAAACCGTAACGTAAATATGTAGAAACTTGGATCTTATTCCAACTAACACGTGAGTTTTGTGTATTTAGGGGGAAAGACATTCCTACTTCTTGTTTGTGTGGGGTTGTCTGTGTTGGCTAATTTTATTTTTCCATTCTATGAAAAGAACATTGTCATTTTTTTCTTCTTTGAACGTGATAATTGTGGAACAAAATAAATGCATACGGACCTCTGAATTATTAACAATTATACGGTTAAAGCTTAGTGTGTGTTCCAATGTAATAACACAAGAGGAATAAAAAATTGTCTTATACTCAATAACTTCCCAACGGGAAAAATAACCAGACTAAAGGGAATTCATAAACATCGTGCTGTATAGTATCAAAGTGAAAATACACAGGACCACAAAATATGAATTGTCATAAACAGAATTTCTTTGCTAATTTAGGACCTAATTTGGAATCAGTACAGATTGACCTAATTTGGAGTGGACAGGTTGACCGGATAGGAATTATTTTTGACTGTTTATCATCTTTCGGCTGTACTAAGAGATTTTGTAAGAAGAATATGGCAAAGGGAAAGTGTTTTGTGGTGCATACATTCTTTCAAAAAGATGAAAAACAATGTTTATGGCACTTGCTAATACTATTTTAAAATACTTTTGAGATCGTTTATACTGTTTCTTATCTTCAAGAGTTATGAGTTCAATTTCATAGGAAAATGTCAGACCATTTAAAAAAACCCATTTCCATCCTTCTCTCTCCATCTCTCTCACCATTATTATTAAATTTTTATGTATTGAGAATTTTTACATTTGTATATTTTCCTTTTCTGCCTTTGGGCTAATCACCTGTTTGAGTTACCAAGGAATTGGCCTCTTTTATGTTATGAGTAAAACAAAATTTAAAAAATTTACCTCTGTTCAAATATGCAGATATTTGATCTTTTCAAATGATGGCTAATTTGCTCATCCACGAGTTTTAACCCTTAGAGCCTCTTTGTTTCATGTTTGAAGACATTACGGCTAAGAGCTCTCAATTTTTAAACATACAATGGTATAATTCCCCAATGATTGCTTTTCTTGGGTACTTGACTAAGTATCCCAATTACACGTGTTTTAGAGAGCTATCACATTTTATGCGCTGGTATTGTAACAAAACCCTAACTAACAATCACTGAGATAATTCGTATAACCGTTCATTTTAACAGCTCGTCTACATAATGGTTATCGGAGTCTTTGAAGTATCATAGCCGTTCAATTTAATGCGATAGGAGCAATTTTACCCCTATCTTATCGCAGATCGACGGATTCGATGATCGGCGACGACTTTCACAATACATACCAGTCAACCGTGAGTGCACTTCAGCAGGGTAGGACTTTATTAGACAACCACACACCAGACCAATTCGCTGCACTTTTTGCAGTATAAATATCCTATTTGGGTTGTGAAATTCAATTAGGTCTTGATATCTGCCTCTTCTCAAATTTTTTCTCTCCGATTGAGAAACATCTCGGACCTTAAATAGACCTCGGACGGAGCGGGTACTCTAAGGCCTTATCTCAGAAGGGAATTGCATCGGAACAAGAAAAATCAATTATAATCGTGTTGCTATTGTTCTCCTGCAAGTTTTGACTCCAGGGTTTCTTGGGATTTTTTTTTCGCTACAAATCGGCTTTGACATTACATCGTTCTGGTTAGTACAGACTTACGAAAGAACGAACAAGCGGATTTCATCGATACACGAGGAGCCGATTGCTATCATTGGGAGATACCATGTGGTACCGGGCGCGTGCTGCAGCAATAGAGCTCTGTGGTGTATTAATGTGTGCCAGTTGTCAAAGTTTGTGAAAATAAATACTGCAATTTTAATTGAACTTGTATAAACAAAGAATTCTGGATGAACTTCTTTTGACGATCCTGCACACAGTTCGGTGTTTATCCTTAAAGAGTGCATTTCCGTAAAATAAATACGTTGGGGATTTTTCTCTACCCTATGGTTCCGATTCTAACATGTGGACGTCCGTCGCATCAAAGCTGGTAGGAATCAACTCGAGATTTTTTGTGTTTGAAAATTATTGCGATGAATTTACACACAATGAATAGTTCAATTAAATGGTATTAATGTGTGGAATTGGGGTTTGTTCCGGGACTCTGAAAGTCCTATTTACAGCCGAGAAAAGCACAGAATGCCGCTTTATACATGTATAAAACCGCTCATAACATATCACTTGACGGGACTGTTGATAATACACTGTGTTAATTGTCTGCCGAGAGAAATTAAAATTGGTAAGTCAACTCTTAAATTAATTTTTTTAACTATTTTATGCAATATTTTTAAGAACAATTTGATTATACTATTTAATTGAAAAAAAGTTAATGGAGACACATAGTGGGTCACATTTATTCCGTAAAATTACTTATTTCCCCGTTTGACCCCATAATCGTTTATGTACTTAGCGAAGCTCATGCCAATGTAACATGAGGAATTTTCGGTACTTGTTATTATTCAGGCCATCACTTTCATCATCTTACTCTTCTGGAACCTGGTTTGCAGAAACCACCACTATAGAGGAACATTAATTAATTATTCAGATTTAATTCATCAAAGGTGAAAAAGAACACGACCAAATAATGCTAAATAGAGCCCGAATACAGTCGGGGGAATTATATTTTAGGGCCATCCTTTAATGAACAATTTTTGGAAAATTATTTCGACGGCTAAACAGGTTTGACGCTCGTGGTCATTTTGCGTGAAATAGAAATGATTATCAGAAAAAGATCAATGGATTGTTTATAAAAAAAATCCGTTTATAATATTTTAATTCGCTAAATTATCATTTTTCCGTAGGAAATAAACTCTGTCATCTCCAGATGATGAATCTATTGGTTAAGGTTTGTTCGCTTTTTACCGTTGAAAGTTGAAGATTATTTCTCACGCGTTGAATAAGGCTCTGGACACAGTGATCTTTTGTGAGATGTTTCATTATTTGCCTTTTGAGACCGGACGCAATTTAAAAGAAATTTAAATTAAGCATATTCTTACAATTTATTGTAATTAAACCTGAGTCAATATTCACCACCTATACTTTACGTGTCTAAACGCATTGAAGAGATTTTAAAAGCTAATATTGATTTAGTTTATTGCTTACAAAATATTTGTTAAACTTTCCTTAGTCACTTTTACAACATTCAAATTAAATTTCAATTATGACAATTTCAGATTTACAAACATACTTCAATTGATTTTATTGTTATTAATAAATATTATTGTAAGTCTTTTCGATTGCACGTTTTTAATACCATTTTACCACGGCCTCTAGATCAGTTATGTACAGAGTGCAGCCAGTTTACGATACTAGAGAGCAGTTGAATGGGAAATAAAAATGAATTACTTAAATCTCACTGTATGTAAACAATTGTATAATCTGCTAACAGTATAAAAGGTCGGCAAGACTCTTGTTTAATTAACCGGGGATACAAATAAAGAAATACAACCACGCATCTGTGCATTTTGTTTTTGTCCGTTCATTCTAGATCTTGCAATCTCGGGATCACACGTGAATTTTCCTACATTAGTTTTCTTTTATCTCTTTCTTAATCCAGTATTATAACGTACATAAATTGGGAGTCTTTAAATGTGCACTAAACATCGTATCATCTGCCATATTTCAAATCAGCTGTCGATATAAATTCAATTAAGAGCTAATTTGCTCCGTAATCTCAAGGAAATAGTCTCCTTAAGGACTAGATACCTATCTGTGCACTCGTGTTTTAGTGTAATGAATTTGAAATTGTTTAATCAATTTTTATCTTTTGAATCGTCGCGGGGATCGCCGGTAAGAGTTTTGTGGGATGAGCTCGGTTTTGTGAATTGGGCAGCTGTGATGTTTTGGGGTGATAAGTTGGCGGCACGTGGGAAGGTTAAGACATTGATTTGATGGCACGAGAGTCAAAATATAAAAATAAAGTATTTTCAAAGAAGGGAGTACAGGGAAAGACCATCTATCTATTCTCTCTTGAATAAAAAGATCAAAATTCATTTCATCGAAGGTAAACTCTTCACTATTTTTTAAATCTTTTACCTTTTTAGGTATACAAGGACAATACACTTTATTTGAAAAATAAAAAGATTTTTAAATCAAATTTTCAAGCAAAAATCTGGAAACTTTTTGCACCAAATTTTTACGGAGGTAAGCAATCGCAAATTGGCCAAGTTAATGTGGAGAAGGCCTGGTTTGTATGTGCAACTGAATTCCTAATAATTGTTAATTGCTATCGCTTACTATTACTCATTCATTCATACTATAGAAGGACATGTATCAAACGTAAGATCATGATCGGACTGTATTATCGGAATTCCGTGTTTATGCGGAGAAATAGATAAGTTACCAGTTAACACAGGACTCTACCCTGGGGGACGTGTATGTAAATCGTCTACAGAACCTAGTCTCTTAGGGCCACCCAATATTCACCTTATATTGTCCACCGAGCCATAAGTCGTTAGGCATCAGAGAAATGGTAATTTCATTTGTTTTTTTACGTTTAGGAAAACTGCTGATAATCAATAATTATAGAGAAAGTTTTTTTTCGAGTCGACCAATCATCTTAGATCTCAATGTATGCATTATGATGTTTTTTTGATCTTTGAAAAATTGTTCTCTCAGCATTCTAAGATTTTCGATATCAAAAAGCTATTGTAAGTTTTTCTTCTCTCTTCCCCAGTTCTTTTTAATTTGATATTTAAAAACGAAATATTCCGCTGAGCTTGAAATAAAAAATACCCAAGTGTCTGAAACATCTGTTTTATATTTAGAAATATCATTTGAAAAAGACGTTAATGGTAATCTAACAACCAAGCTCTATGATAAACGTGATGACTTTAACTTTTCTATTACCAAATTCCCTTACTTAGGCAGTAATATGCTTTTATCACCTGCATACGGAGTTAACATCTCAAAGTCGAGAACATGCTCAACGTGTGAGCAATTTCTGAAACGATGTAAGTTATTGACAAACACGTTGAAGAAACAAGAATATCAGCAGTCTCTTTTAAAGTTACCATTTCGTTAGTTCTATATTCGATACAATGACCCTGTCAGCAAATGAAATACTGACTTACATTTTTTATGAAACATATAAAAATAACGAACAGTATTCAAGATCAAAAGTCCATTAAACAATACAAAATAGGAGCAGAGCAAACACAGACGTCCAAAACATCAGAGGTAGGATCAGATGTCATAAAGTAGTGAGCATCCCCTGTCGACCGGTCACACCCTCTGTGTGCTCCTTGTCATGATCGGGAAATAACGGAAAAATCCGTCGTCAATTCAGTGTATGAATATTGGACTAACAAATAGTATGAAAAACGTTAGTCGGCATTTAACTTAATGATAAATTGTATTTGCTAACAAGGTCATTGTATCGATCATAGAACTTGCGAAATGATGACTTTAACGAAGACCGCTGATATTCTTGTTTCATCAACTTGTTTGTCAATAATTTACATCGTTTTAGAAATTGTTCATACGTAGAGCATGCCCTTGCGTATCGAATCAACTGAGATATATAATCTCCATATGCAGGTGATGAGGGTATATTGCTTCACAAGTAACAGAAGTTGACGATAGAAAAGTTAAAGTCATCACGTTTATCATACAGCTTGATTGTTATATTGCCATTGATGTTCAATTGTTAGCACATTATTTACACACCAACTTGCCGACAGGCTTTTTTTTCATTATTCCCAATGACAAGGAGCACACAGCGGGTGTGACCGGTAGGCAGGGGATTCTCACTCCACCGTGGCACCTTATCCCAACTCTGTTGTTTTAGAAGTCCATGTTTGCTTTGCTCTAATTTTGTATTGTTAAATGGACTTTTGAGCTTGAATACTGTTCTTTATCTCAAATCATTTCATTCATGAAAGTGTACTTTAAAAAATATTTAAATTGTAAACTAAATTGGCATGGTACCTTTAGCATTTTTTGGTGTTTTAAGAATTAGCTTGCACAGTGTGTTTATCAGACACGTCTCTTGACGGGTGTAAGGAACTAAGAGAAGCGTGACAGAGACGTGTTAGCACCGCATCTGTATAATCAGTGACAGCTATATCCTTAACATGGCATGTGTTTAACCGGGAAAACGCCAACATTCTTTTCTTCTGCTTTAAAAAGATTTTCATTTACCAGCAATTAGAGGCAATGGACTGTAATTAATTAACAGATATTTTTCATCTGGTTAAACACCCCGTCCGTCAACACATTTTGCCGATTCCTTGGTATTTGGAATATGAACATTATGTTATAGTAGTTTAATCAGTTTTATCCGATTTTGATATGATTTTGATTAGCGCCAGAAGTGTGCTTACATTTTGTTGTCTGGATGTAGTTAACTTAGTTTTTACACTTTCGTGGCTCTGCTCTCCAATACAACACATCACATGAGAACAACAAGTCTCCTCCGGTTAAGCTCTTTGCCAGTCGAGCCCTTTATAATTTGATCTACAATGTAGCTTTCCCCACACGAGATTACATTTTATGTCAGAATTATGTGTCCTCTTACGATTCAAGAATTTATAGGTTTTTTATGACCATAAAAAGGACGGCGAACGGCCGGACTTCCCGGGGAGAAAGAAAAAGGATTTCTATTAAAACAACAAGGGGCCCTTAGACGTCCACTGAGTTTAATGTTCTTTTTTGACCATAAACTTCACTGCAACACACTGTCAAACTTTGGGCTCTTCTTTTCACAAAGCTGAACTGTTTAATTAGAAAAACATCCAAATTTCTTACAGTTGTAAAAGTTATTCAAGATTTGAAAGGATACGGTTGCACAACCGTAACAGCACATAATAAAATGGGAAAACGAAAAAGAGTTGGCCAGCTATTAATTGGATAGCATGTATTTGAAAGATTCTTTTGAAAACTTTTATTAAAAAGACACCTGTTTAAAATATATTCTACTTTAACATTATTTTAAGTTTATTATAAACTTTCACCCACAGATAGTTGACGAGTTAGGAGTCTTTTGACATGAAACATTTCAAAGTAATGTCGTCAACACATAATAATTTCTTGAATATCAAGATGGAAGGAACTAGCATAAACATTTTTACTATGATTAAACGGAATGTCTGTTACTTATGAAATGTCTTTTACATTTTTTTTGTGTAAACATAAAACATTGAAGATTAAATGTTTAAGAGGAAACAAATCTATAATATTTGTTTTCAATGATATAATCTGATATGTTGATAAAAAAAAATAACAGGTGGGTACCTTTAA